TGCACGCCTAATAGGCCAACAACTTCTTCCACATTTCCATAACCTCCTGGTTTGTAGATCATCAATTGTGCTATTGTGGAAGCTGATGCTCCAAGTTTTAAAGGATTCAGAGTAAAATACGTCTGCGCGACTTGACGAATGATCTCGTCTACGACAACACACATTCCTTCCTGTAGTTATGAAAATACTTATTTCCATAAAAAACCTAAATACAACCAGATACAATGTTAAGAAAGCCAAAATGTCTTTACTGCATTTATTAGTATAGAAACACTCATTTAAAAAAATTGTCAACTGAAACATTTTTGCATGCCTTATAAGATATGCAAATTTGTCGTTACCTTTGTACACATCTTTGAATTGACGAACTTAAGATTAAAACGATTTGAAGCTTGTTCCTTTTTTTTTTTTGCTCAGATATGAATTTACGATCCTATCAAAATCTAGAAATCTAGAAAGGACATTTAAAAAGCAAACAAATGTGAAATAGTCAACAGAAAAGCTGGTGGTGTATCCACGGTGCTTAGAGACTATACAAAAACTGTTATGCTACAGTTAGTCTACTAAAAGCACTAATCTACTATACAAAACTACAGTGCAAGTGGCTGTGAAAGGGGAAAGCTATATTTACAATTCCCCTTCTTTTACTGGCTACAAGCTACACTATTTCACAGTTAAAATACATCAGAGAAACTCTCTCCGCTATGTTGCTTTCTGTTTTGATAAATGGGACAACTGGACAACCTAGAACATGCAGTGCTTTTAATAAATATATTGTCTCACCCATACCCAGGAAATATATATAGTGTGTGTTTTACAGCACACAAAGATGGACATATGAAAATGTATTTACCAGGATATTGCAAAACCTAGCAAATGTAATAAGGAAGATCTGGTGAAAAAAAGAAAACCTGATTAAATATATTTTAAAATCATGGGGGAGGGGGAAATCAAATAGGGCTAAATGCAAAGATTATCTCCCTTAATTAGGGCAGTTTTAATAGACCCTGGGATGGATTATGCATGTAAACATCCATTTTAAGCTGTTTATAACCAGCTGTTTTAAAAAAAATGGATTATTTCTACGTACCAGTAGGAAGTCCTGCAATTGCTAAAACTGGAGAAGGATTTAGTAGCCAAAAGCAAGAGGCTGCTAGAGAGGGTGAAAAGCAGCATCACTGGAGAGGAAGACTCCTACCTACAGATCGGCAGCACTTAACAGAACCGAAGCCAGAATCTTTTGGGGAACCACACAGCACATGTATTACACCTGGATTTTACTGGACTTCATACACATCACATTTGGGTTTTCTTTTATAGAAAAAAAGCGCATGTTTTTGGTTGTCCTGAGTACAATGTGGGTATCTGTAAATGCACAGAAACCTATCAAGTTGTCCCCATTAGAGCTTTTGAGAGGGAGCAAGAGAGTCTAAGCGCACTACTCGGGCTCATTAGACTAATCCCTAACACTTTTTTGTAAGAGCTGCACAAAATTTAGATCTCCAATTCAGTCAATGCACATTGTACAACTCAACACCACAAAACCCAACAGGATACAGAAGAATATGCAAGACGATCTTCATCCACTTTTGGGAAACTGAAGAACAATCCAAATGAGAACAAGAGCCAGCAACCCAACTCAAAGGGCCTCTGACGGGAAAACACCTTTTCTGACACAGGAGGCTTATGCACTGAAAGGATGATTAAAAATTACCCTCTGGGGGAATCCACATCCATCACTCAATTTGTTCCTTCCAGTCCTCAAGAAAGTTAATTTTGCAAACCGGCTCAAATAATCTCCCCCTCTCCGTGTGAACGCAAGTCTCTTCCTACCACTGTGACAGGAAGACTTGAGAATAAAGATTAGAACTTATGTAGCACAAAACCGCGGATTATAAAGTCTTTCTACCCAAACTACTTTAAATAGCTGTTTAATTTATTACAAGCCAAAAAGAATCCCCCCAAAAAATGAGATAAACTAGAAAGGCAGTAAATCTAGTTCCACCTAACATACAAAGACAAGGTGGTCAGGAAATCTATTCTAATCTTCTTGCTAGAGCAGATGTCAGAGGGACACAGACCCATTAAAATTCAGGGCCTGACATCTGGGTGATGCCCAACATTTTAGTTACTTCCCTCAATAAAGCCTAGCAGTACTCCCAACTGCATTACATTGCATTTAGCACGTGAATTTGCCCAAAACAAGATCTGCTGGTCATACTATCAGAGCTTGCTTTTATGCAACCCTCTGCTACATTTCTCCTCTTTCCACCCATTTGGCTGGTTGTCGTCTTTTTTTTTTTTTTCCCTTTTGGAATGACTTCCTGAAATTTTACATGCAGTCACAAACCTGGTTATCCAAGCAATCTCTGGAAGTCAGCTGGTCAATTTTTAAAATTTTCTCATTGCTTGCCTTAGTTGTAACCTTACAGAGTTAACACTTTGCCTCAGCCTGGATTTTATATAACCAGGTGCTTTCTGCAATGGGCAGGCCAACTCCCTGCCAAACTTTTCAATCCTCCTACGGCAAAAATGTACCATTTCTTTCCGAGACCTATCTATCGAAAGGTGGCCAGTGCTTTCCTCCACTGTTCAAAACCTGGGTACCTTGAAGCAACACCAAAATCCCATTTTGTACATTTGCAAAAGACGTGGGGTTTGTTAGGGTTCTGGAAGAAACCCCAAATAAGGTTTACCAGGTCAGATTTTAGTAAGAACTTCATTCTCCGTTACAAATGGACACGACACGGCAGAGTTAGTGGGAGAGCATGGACAATGAAGGGCTCCAGGAAGCTGCCTATGGAGTATTGAAAAACTGCAATTTGGTGAAAGTAGAGCTGAGATCTCAGACATCTCTTGCACAGTTACTTTCAGGGAATTAAATCCGTCCTGCAAGCAGCTGGGCATTTCACCAGCTTCCCTCCTAAAGATGCCCTGCTCTAGGATAAAACTATAGCACACAACCAAGGAGGAGAGCAAACTTAAAAAAAGCCATGATGTTCATGTATGCAGCAGCCACATTCCCAGCCAGCCTACCGCCACACTTGGTCATGTTAACAGGCAAGCAAGTGGTGTACATTTGTCAAGCCCTACGAAGTATTTTATTCTTTTGTCTACCCTTCCGCTTCCTACGAGAAAGAAAACTTATTTTTCTCTGTAATAAAGCAGGTAATATTTCAGGGGATCGGGCAAAGGCAGACTCAAGACTTTTTCCCTCAGGAAGTTTACAGGGGGGTCCGGCTTCATTTCCGAGATACCCTTTTCCTCCTCTTCTAGAGTCTCATCCTCAAACTCTTCGCAGTTGTTGTTATCATCGGAGTGGTTTGAGATCCGGCTGGCAAAGACCTCTTTGTCCAAGAAAACAATGGTCTCCATGCGACGGTGGCGGACACGCCTGCGCTTGCACCGGGGCAGGCTCTTTGGGCTGTTTCCAGTTTGACTGCCGGCCTCCTGTTGGATTATCTTTTTAATAGTTCCTCGGATGGCAATGCGGGCCAGGTCTTGGAGGCTGCGGACAACCACGGGCGCTAGAAACACAAAACGGAAAGCATGAACAGGTGTGCAGGCACAGCTCTGGCAGTACAATATGAAGAGTGGTCACATGCCCGCGGCTTTATCATTTTATCCAAAGTCCTGCCCCGTTTATAAAAACAGTTGTGTCACCCAAAATGCACAGCATTCTTCCTCCACCGAACCACAGGTCTTCATGTGCTTCTCTCTCCATCTCCCCTTAAGGGGAGATAATGAGCAAGGGGAAAAAAAAGAGCATTTTCAATATCCAATCACCCGGGAACGTGCAGCACGTTTTAAGTCTTACATTTTTAAGGCTTTATCATTGCGGTTTGGACTGTGCAGCAACTGGGAGGAAAGTTTGTTTCCTCACTGCTGAGAAACATGGAAATGGCCCCAAATGCATAGAAGCAGGAGTGAGTAGGGCTGGCTTGCACTCTTACATCCGTCACCAATTAGGTTCAAGACCACAGGCAAGTCACTTCAGCATCTGTCAGCTTTCTCATGTGGAAAACAGGAATAACACCTATCCACTGAAAGGTGTCATGGGCTTAATTCATTAACATGTGAAAACTGGCTGGAAGAAAAGAAGTTGTATAAGCCTAGGAGTGGGTATTCTTTAGAAATCCTCTTGAAGGCTTTGGAAGACTACTTTATCTTGGGCACTGCTTTCCTGTCCGTTCAGCATGCACGACTTAACTACTGCAGGGTGCAATGCATACACAGATACTGAGGCATTCTTCTGATCTAGGCAAAGATGGGCAGGGAGGGGTTGGAGAATAGCATGAAATATTTGTAGGTGCTCATGTAGTGAACACAACACAAAGCAATCCTCAGATGATCAGCTGACACACTTTACCCAGCATGACAAGAAGCATGGTGAGCAACACAAAGAATGCCAGTAGTGATGGATACCATCAAAGGCCAGAGAAAAGAGATCAAGGACCAGGTCTTCTTATGCGTTTACAGAAAACCTTGCACAGAGGAGCCTCAGTCTAAGGATTGGGACCAGTGGGTGTTACCTGCAATACAAATGAAGAACTTTTCCCCTGAAGGGTTTCCTATTTGAAGGAACCTCACGGATGACCTTACCACTCACCTACGTAGGTAGATGTTACATTGGAAAACAACCCTGCCTATCCATTTTTTTCATTTTTCTGAGCTACATTCTCTTAACGCAGTCCAAAAGTGAAGCTTAAAAATGAAGGCACACCATACTTAGAAGCTTCAATTTCACAAAGCATCCATCAAAACTTTGGACTTAATTACAATCTGTTTTCTTATACCGCACTACTCCGGCATTCAGAGATAAAACAGGAACAAAAATATCGGAGAACTGCAATGAATATGAAGCAGCTGGCATGGCTTGCATCAGAAGAATGGCAGGTATGCTTAGCATAGGTGGGAACATTATGCTGAAATCAAGACAAAACTGGTGCAAGGAGAAAAAGCAGCTTTGCTGACAAGTGTTTATACTTACGCAAGTAAACGACATTGGACTTCCCTGAATCCATGTGATTGGGCTGAACTAGAGGAGCAAAAGAAACAGCCAGGATCTTCTTGGTTTCCCAGGCAGAAGGACCAGTGCGAGTTATCTTAGTCAGCTGCAAAGAGAGAAAGCACAGTCTGCTCGGTAAACCACAGAAATCCCCAGAACTTCAGAAAGCAAAAGTGTGGCGAGGGCTCTCAAATAACTCAGTTATTGCAGCATTTAAAGTTCAGCAGCACAACACGAAACACTCCCAACCAACTAAATACCAAAGACCTGAAAAAACAGGACGGGTTGGTGGAGCTATGCAGAATGGGTAACATTTAAGTAGGACCTGCACGGTTCAGTTTCTAGAAAGGGCGGCAATTTTGCCTGAAAGAGCGATCTCAAATAGGCGCATCTAAGGAAGCCAGTGAATAGCAGGAAGAGCTACCAACTAAAGAAGATATTGCAAAATCACAAGGAAAGAAGCGCCAACCTTCTCCTCTAGTGGCATGACAAGAATTCCCCCAACTTTCAGCAGATTTTTCATGTAGTCTTCGTGCTCTTTCTTGACTCCGGCGCCACAGTAGACACGGTCGTACTGAGTCGAATCTGGAGAGATCTCTAAACAGTTGCCGCTAACAAAGGAGGGCTCACAGAACTCAAACCTGAAAGTGAAGGGGTCCAATTATAGCGGTCTTGGACCGCACGGCTGCTTAAGACAAAAGAAATGGCCTCTGCAATTTTCTTTCATACTGGGCAGGACAACTGATTAATACAGTTTCAATGAGCCAATTTTCCTCCCATGCCCCACCGTCTCAAAATACTGGAATCTACAGTCTGCCAGAATGGACCTATATTTGAACCTCTATTAGGCCGTGATGACAGACTAACTACACCACTTCAGGTGTCTTGGGAGAAAATGACTTTGTAAAGTGTCATATTGAATATTACCGCACTTCTTGAAGTCTTTTGCTTTTGGAAAAATATATTTGAAACAGCTGTAATAGCCCTTACCCATGTAGTTTTAGTAGCTATCCCATCAGCCATATTCCTCCTTTCACAATGCCATATATTTTATTCTTTTATTTAAAAAAAAAGAGAAAAGAAAAGAAAAAGAAAAGAAAAGAAGAGTATTCTTATTTATAACATCAATCCCTGAAATCCAGATTGGTCAGCTGTAGAAGAGCACAGTCTTACATGCCATTTTCTCTTACTGGAAATCCTCCAAAGCATTTTACAAGCTGTACATTATTGGCTGCTTTAAGCTCTTATAGACTTGTTGCACTACAGTCAGGATACAACTCGACTATTAGGATAATTGCACAAAGAAGAATTTGGAAGTGCACAGAAGAACATGTTCTTCTTTTAAGAGTTTCACTGGCATCTTCCAGCTCCTACCAACCACTAATGAGCAAAGCTCTCATCTGATTGACATCCTTACTAATACTGTACTTCCCCTCTGCCCTTTTGTTCTTGCATTGCAGCATCACAAAAGTTTCCCCCCTCCCTACTCCCAAGTACGTACAGGTATACTTCTGCAGTTGGACTTTGCTCTGTAGCTAAAATTATTGCATTTCATTGAAGCTAGACAGGAGGCAGAAGACAGGTTTGAGAACAAAAGCAATTAGATCACTGATGTCAGGTGAGCAGGTCCTACCATTGCTATTTACAGGCATTTTTTTGCCCTTCTTTCCATCAGGGGCACCTCTTCCCCCTCTATCAGCTTCCCTTTGCTGTGACCATAGTGTGACATGGGTAAAGTGACACCCACAAGACACCAGAAGCACTTCTTCTTGGGAATAAAACTGCAAAAGCAGTCCAAAAATATGACAGCTACCACACACATAGCCTATAGTTCCCTCAGCAACCCCATCAGAAACTTTTTACTTGTGACAGCAGAATGAACATTTCAAGGAAAACCCTAAACCAGATTCATCCCAATCAACTTCAGGACTGATTTAATCATCATAAAATAACTTCATATAGTAACCAGCGAAGTTTTTTGTCTGATGGATAAAACCATGTTATGGGAGTAAGGGCCTCCATTTAAATGTCTGGGGAAATTTCTGCTATCAGGTCACAAATATCAAATCCTGTCATCTGCAGGCTCAGCAAAGGTTGACTGCAATTAAGTCTTACTGCCTGGGTCAACTCATCAAGCCCATGAAAGCAGAGTCCTCAGAACATCCTCAGCTCAAGAAGCGCCACCCCAAAAGCGGTCTCCATACTCACTTGTCAAAGCTGTCGCTTGTCTTGATGAAGTCCTCCAGTTTCTGCTTCGCGTACTCGATCACATCTGAGTGAAGCTCCACGCCATGGTTCACACCAAAAGGACCTGCCAATTAAGAGTGCACAAAGGAAGTTTCTTTAATGCAATTAGAGAAAGCCCAGCACTTTGGAGCATCAGTCTAGGGATTGGGACCTGTGGGCGCTACCTGCAGTACAAACAATGAACAGCTTTTCCTTGGAAGGGTTTCCCCACTTGAAGGGCCCTCACCCGATAGTCACACTGCCCATTTAAGTAGGTGGAGGTCACATCTGAATACAACCCTGCCCGTGAACTTTGCTGAGAGATGTTCTCTAAAAGTAAAAAAAATACAGGCACACCATACTTAAAATAAAAATAAAAGCATGCTCAGTTTCTCAGCTTGTTCCAGGCCATGGTTACATAAATGAGGTCAACTAAAGCATGAGTTTGTAGCACATGAGCTACATGGCCCTACCTTCCCACGTGCACACTCTTACCTGCAGTAAGTATGAGGTTAATGTGCCCCCCTCAGTAAAAGGGCAACCTAGCTCATGTTGGCAGCAGAGTCAGAGCATGCACAATTACTACAAGAGTAGCTAACACCCAGCAAATTCACACCTTAGCTTGCCTCACAGTCACTTGCTGGGGGCAGCTGAACTAAGCTACCATCAAAGGAGTCCTCTACATTCATGTACATCGGTCACCAATAGGAAACACAGAGCCCTTGAAGGTCAGAGATGGCTACAGCCCTGATGGACAGCAGCTGTCTCCGACACAGGTGTTCCCACTTCTACAGGAAATGGCAAGGTGTGATGGGAATGTTGTGATGCAACAACATTTTGAGAAAATATACTAGTTAAGGTGTGCCACATGGCAGATTGGGAAGGGGACAGGTGGCAAAGCAGTAGATAGCACAGGGAACAGAAAGCAGAGCAGCAGATCAAGTCGGGGCAGGGATTGGAGTGGCATTTGAGGCTGCAGGGCTGATTTAAGGCACATCTGGCCAAGAAAGGCTGGTCCCCACTGCTTCAGGAAATGAAAAACTCTCTCTAGATCATTTTTGTCGCCAACAAAAACAGCCCCCAAAACCTATCCATTTTGAAATCCTATCCAGTGACCCCCGCTTTAATACATTAGGATCTTAATCCAGGCCTGCCAGGTGACTTTTCATAATATGAGCAAACATTACACAGAAAAATCTCACAATGGGGCCATTTGCCTTCAAAGAGCTGAAAGCAAAATTGTTGCAGACTTAGTTATTCGCTTTTTAACAGGCCTGCTATTATGCACTAAGAGCACTGAAGACAATAGCCCTGCTTACACTGTAATTAAAGGTTACCTGAACCCTAATGGCTTTGATTTGAAACTGGCTTTATCAGCTTCCTAATTTTCCTGGAAGCAATGGTACCAAGATCCTGAAGTTTTAAGTGCTCAAGCCTTAATTACTATCGTTGCCAATACCAGCTCTATGAAAAGCCTCTAAAAACGGTAATAAGGCTGTGCTGACGACGAACACTTAAAACTATTGAAATCGGTGCCCAGTACCCAGGAGGAGCATAGGATCCATGCTGTTATTTAGCCAACTATACACATTGCTTCTGCCTTCCAGTAAGCACTAACTGGATTTCTCCAGGACAAGTGAAGGCAGATTTATTCCAAGCGTGCCCTACATTAAGCAATTCGTACCAGGAGAACGTAAGGCGATTTCCTGTGTTTTCACATGTTTAACTCTGTGTAGTCACCCATGCTTCTGAATCCTGGTAGGGTTAATCTACTTATGCATTTAGTGCCACATGCTTCCTTGGGAGGGGGATGGAAAGAAGGTTGCTAAATGCAGGCAACCCACACCACTGATTTTGCTTTTGCATTGGTTAAGACAAAATATATGTTAGCCAGTACTTCAAAGCATTGCTTTACTCCTACAGTAGAGCTGATCAGGAGGCTAGATACTGGCTGCTCTGACAAGCAGACTTGCCCCTAATGAGTGCCAGTCTGAGATCATAATTGGGCTCCTTAGGTGCTTTTCAGCTTGGCCAAGGTGGACTAAAAAGCAAGTGGGATACAGTGCCGGAAGCAATACATCATGCACAATCCCAACCTCAGACCAGCTTGGCTCTTTCCACTCTGGACACTCACAGGAGAGCCCAGCAAGCCCAAGACCCATGCCCATTTTGGTAGGAATACACCAAATATACCAATATAAATGAGCTGAATGGCTGCAACTTTAAACCTGAACAAAACAGCTTAAAAAAAAAAAAAACACACCAAAAAGATTGCTAGGTTTCAGCTCCACTTATATGGGAGCATCTTATAGCGATATGATTTAATACTGGTGCAACTTATGTCTGTCCATCCCGCAAGCTTGACAAAAGCATGCTTTATTTACAACGATAGCCACAATTATATCTTAAAAAGCTCAAAGTCACAGAGGAAGGGTTCCATACCTTGTGAAAATAGAAGGTAATTTAAGCAATAATGAACAGGACTGAAATGATATTTACCTAAGATGAGTCCCACCATAGAGCTCAGGTAGCCAGTGCCACTGCCCAGGTTCAAGAAGGACAGTCCCGGTTGAAGATCCAGAGCCTCCATCACTTCCGAGTATATACATGGAGCCGAGAGATGAATATTCCCATGTTTCCATGCAGAGTCCTTGTAAGCACTGTCTTTAAACTCCTCCAGATAGTAGTCTCCCCGGTCAACAGCTCGAAACGCCTGCTCCACCAGGTCGGTCCGGATATACTGCGCCTCTTTCAAGTTATCAATTAACTCATCGTTATCTTCACCAGCACTCACCGCGCCTCCCATCTTCAACAATTTTTCCCCGCAGGTTCTCCCACTAAACGGGGATCTGGGAAGAGGAAGAGGACAAGATACATTTAATACTATGATAACCACTCAGGCTGCCGCACACAAAGCCATTTAGAGTCCCAGATTAAAGCATCTCCTTTGGAAGATTGTCAGTGCAAAAATATGGCAACACAACTTTCATCCACAAAATCACTTAAAAAAAAATACACATGCACAATATCTATCATATGTAAAAAAGCCGCCCCAAAACCCAATAGATTTGGTACCTGGGTTTGACTTGCACATTTTTGGAAGGCAAATTCCTGCAATCACATGCAGTTTTTATCTGCACCATACCCTCTTTCAGTGAAATGATGTCTATAATCTCACTTATTTTTTTTGACTGAAAGTGCTATATAAAATTCTACATTCTGGTGCCCATTCACCATCTCTCTCCCCCTCTGCCCACACATGCCAAAAAGTCCAAGCAATAATAAAATCAGGGCCTGTCTCTGACAAACTTTAAGACACATATATGTTGCCTCTAACTGATATTAGAAGACAAGGCATTGGCATACTATACCCAATGGAGCTTGGGGACAGAAAAATAAAACCACCCAGGGACACATGAAGAAGGATGGGGGAAAATTCAGAGGCTGCTTCACTGAATCCAGGGACCCCACTAGTGTGCATTCTGGGTATGGGCATAATTCACTTACCTGGATAACCCAAATCCAGTCCCAGGATGGTGCCTATTGTTTCCACTGTAACTAACATTGATTATCTGCATACAAATTAAAGATATACGCCAATTAAGCGCACAGCATCTTTCAGTGCCTCTGTCTACTTCGTAATTTAACTGCACTTTGTTAACGGCCATACAAACCCCAACTATAACAGTTGACTTCCTAACAAACTGCTCCTTTTAAGTGTACCAGACACAGCTGCTTCCTTTTCTCCCTCGGGGGTTGCAAGTACTAGCCATGAACATGATACGGGTGAGAGAGTTTGGTGGTCCCCATCTCCTTTCATTCTGAGACCTAACAGCACCCCAAAGCAAAAACCTTGAAAATTAGGGGAGCTAATCATTTCCAGGGCTGCTACAACCACAGCACTGGGTGTTTAAGGATGGGGTAGGTGTATATACTCCCAGCATTTTTTCAGTCCAGAAGTGATGCACTGAAACAGAGTACACCGAACAAACTCCCAACTTGCTTTTGCTTCTGCAGTTTCAACCAGCACCATCAGTGCAGAGAATACATAAATGCTGGAAAGACATTTCTATAAAAGTAAGCGCAATTTGTCAGGGTCTCTTCTAAGTTCGAAGTGAGATAATATCTCTTGGATGCTATTTCAGCCCCATCTGGCCCTTACAAATTAACAATGCTGATGATGTCACCGGATTGGTCACCTCCTAACAGACTCAATTCATCCTGCAAAGAGAAAGCAGTCCATTTACCCTCCTTTGATGCCACACAATGCAGGCTGCATATCATCTGCATCTTTTAAAGAATGAGCTGCAGAGAGTAAGAAGTTAATTTCCAACTCCAGCTTCATCTAGCTGGTTCCCACCCACTAAAAATTTCCATTTCCAAAAGTACAATGTGATTTTTGATTTACAGGGCTTTTGGCTCTGCTAGAACCAGCCGAAGCAGCAACTTCACTGCTCTTTTCTGGGATCAGATCTGCCCACAGATAATTGTTTTACACATTCAGCAAGAGAGAAAAAAAGCTCTCTCTCTCTCTCTCTCTCTCACACACACACTCTCAATTTCACAACCAACAGAAAAAATGCAACCACCACCAAGCAAATCTTGCCACACTGAGTCACACACAACCCTGCTCTGCCTCTCTGCAGTGACCTTAGACATGATGAACTTCACCACTAAAATTGTTAAGAATGAACTGCAGGCAGAAATTAGGCAATTTTCACATGCCACAATCCAGTACAGACCTACGTTTTGCACATTGGCTTCTTTTCCATCCAGGAGAACACAAAACACCAGCAGACGTTCCCTCTGCCTGAAGAAGGGTGTTTGTGCCCCAAAGCTTGCAAAGAAAACTGCTTCCAACTATTTAGTTGGTCTAATAAGAGAGATCACATTTACCCAATGAACCTTGTCTGCCTAAAATCTGGTATAAGTATTTCAGATATTTTTCTCCTTTTATAGGTAACACCCCCCCCCGGCAGGGCCGGTTGGCTCAGATGCACCCCTAGTCTTGTGCACCCCTGGATCTATGCATCCAAGCCCCATTGCACCCCCATACTGGTACACCTTACTGCAAGGAGAAAGAGCCTGGAGTCTAGGGGACTTCATAGGACAGCCTTACACTTCGATTTGGCCTTATGTGCATGCCAATGCTTCGGCTCCTGCCTGCTTACAGCTGCTGTCAGTGCCTGTGGGTAATACACTTCACATAATTAATTACTCTCAGGGAAGCAAAAAGCAAACACACCCTCCTTTCCTGTCCTCCAGACCCTGCCTTCCTTAACTTTAGTTCGGACGCTCTCTCTTTCTTGAATCTATCCACCCCTCTCCCAAGCGGGTGCTCTTGATGCTATTAAACAGCTGCAGGTTTAAATACGGATTACCAACACAGCTGGGAGCCCTGCCGAGCTCCTACCACAGCTCCCCATGGGGCTTAAATGCCTTTTTTGGTTCCTCATGCACACAAAGCGCCACCACAACCCTTCCACACTGCGGTTTAAGGTCCATCCCGTGGTCCCTGACCTGGCCGCTCGCTCCCTTCTGCTCTTCAAACAACTTGAACCAGGTCACGTGCAAGCAGCAGCAGGGGCCTCTGGATGAGACTTCCCGAGTTGGGCCCTGTGAGCCACGAAGAGTTTTGACCTGTTTAGGTCTAACAGCACCAACCGGTCTTTATGCCACACGCTGGAAAACGAACGGTGCCCACGGAGAGGTTAAAACCCAGTAGGCGCTTTTTGCAAAGAAATCCAGCTGCCTCCACCCCCCCCAGGAAAACCTACAACCAGAAGCTTCTCCTTTTCTGCAGCACAGTTTCCCCCTCTCTGCAAACGCTTGCACGTCTTGACCAGGCTGCACGCCCCCCCTGGCAGGGCCGGCCAGCTCCCTGACCGCCACCGGATGAGGATGCACCCCTGGACCCATGCACCCCTGGACCCGTGCAACCCCCGCCCCAGACTCATGCACACCTCCCAACCCATGCACCCCTGCCCAGACTTGTGCACCCTTAGGGTTGGGGGTTCTCATCCTGCTGGGAGGGGAAACAAACACCTGCATGGCAGGAGGCCCTGCTCAGGTCCCAGACAAGAAACCCCTGTGTGCACGGCTGGATTGCATGCCCCCAAGCCCCTCAGGCACCCCTGGGGGGTGGGGGGCATTGCAGCAGTGGCAGGGGCTTTGCAAGGAGGGGGGCTCCTGCTGAGCTCCTTGCATTGCCCCTGCCCCCAGCAGAGCCCAGGCCTCCCCCTGCCCCACTGCAGCCCCAATTGGGGAGGGGGGAGCCAGCCCTGGGCCCTACTCCCAGCCCTGGGCACTGCTGCTCCATGCAGCAGGGCACCCCCCGCCAATGTATGGGCAAGGGGGAGCCCCCTGCACCCCACAGCGAGGCGGGAGGCTGGGGAGCACCCCCTGGCTTGCAGGGGCAGGGCCGCGGTACCTGGGCAGGGGGGCAGCTCCCCCGGGCGCTCCGGCTCCGGCTGCTGTAAACACTGCCCCAGCTGGGAGCCCCGGGCAGCGCCACTGCGCAGGCGCGGCGCGCACCAAGTGGGAGGAGGCTGGATTGTACCACTGTGAAAAGAGGAGGAAGAGCAGCGGTGGCTGGGACGGACCACGGGGCGAAAGGGGAGGGGGGAGCTGGAAGGGCGCATTGAGACGGGGGGAGGCTCTAATGCACCTTCACTGCAGCCTCTCATTCTAGGGGTAACCCTAATGGAAACCTGGACCCTAACCCTCAGTCCAAACCCTAGCCCAGACCCTAAGATAACAGAAGCCCTAACACAACTCCAAACCCTAAATGGATCTGGAACCCACACCCTGACCCTAACCTAACCCAAACTTTAGACCTGACCCTAAACAAACCTCTAATTCAAAGCCTGACACTAACCTTAATCCTGGCCCTAACCCTAAAGCAAACCCTAACTCTACACAAATCTCTAACCCAAACCCTAACGCTAATCGCAGCCCAAACCCTAATTCAAACCCTAACCAAATCTCCAATGGAAACCCTGACCCTAATCTTCATCTTAGCCCTAAACCTAACCTTGGACCTAACTTTCACCCTAATCCAAACTGTAACACAAATCGAATCTCTAATCCAAACGTTGACCCTAACCCTGGCCCTAAATTTAACCCTAATCCAAACCCTACCCCTAAAACTAACCACATTTCTAACCCAAACCCTGACCCTACCCCTAATACCAGCCCTAACACTAATCCAAACCCTACAGAGATCTCTAACCCAAACCCTGACTTTAACCCTAATCCCAGTCCTAACCTAACCCTAATCCTAATCCAAACCCTAGCCCTGACCCTAGCGTTAGCCTTAGCCCTAACTGTAAACAAATCTCTAATTGAAACTCTGACCATAACCTTCATTTTAGCTGTAAACCTAACCCTGGACCTAACCTTAATCCAAACCCTAGGCCTAGCCCTAATCCTAGCCCTAGCCATAACCAGATCTCTAACCCAAAACCTGATCCTAACCCTAATCCTAGCCCTAATCATAACTCTGTTCCCAACCCTAACCCTATTCCAAACCCTAAATGAATCTCTAACCCAAACCCTAACCCTGGCCTTAACCCTAATCCAAACTTTAGCCCTAACCCTAACCCTAGCTCTACGCTCTTCCCGAGGTCTGTCCCTCCTGGCTCCCATTCCCTATCCCCCTAACCTCTGGCTGCCTTTCCTCCACCAAAACAGCACCATCCCAACCCTCCCTCTCCCCTGTGCAGAGCCCCATTGCCCCCCATACACCCGACTGGTGTGCCCAACACCAGTGATCCTCAGCCAGGGACCCCTGGGTTCCTTGAGAGCCTTTTGGGGGTACCCCACCGTGTTAACACTGCTGTGGCAGGGAAATGTTGATTCACAAAAGAAACCTGGAGATGTCAAGTAGGAACCTGTCTTGTTAAAACATTTGGCCCTGTGGAGGTCTTGTAGTCAAAAAATAAGCACAAGCTGAGTGCTGGCATTTTCCAGCGGGTGCCTTGAGTCTGCTCTCCCCCTTCCCTCACAGTCACCAGAATATCATCCCGTTCCTGCATTCTCTCTCCCCAGCCCGGCATCCTGCTCCCACCACCTGTCACTCTTCTAGGTCCCAAATTTCCTGCTGGTCCAGCCCAGAGGAGAGGGTCCTGGCTCGGATATCTGGCCTAGTACAGAATGCAGAACCAGCCTGGGCTCCAAAGAGGTGAAAGCCACCACACAGAGCACAGTTCCTCTTTGCAGCATTACCCACCTGGAATCAGGTCTCTGAAAATGGGAGATCTTTCTTTTCTAAATAATAAAAAGAAGGCTATGTTCTAATCTGGTTTTAAAGCCTTGAGGCTGCAGCCGGGCCTCTTTCTTGCACATTTCTTTGCCATCACAAGAATGAATCTTATTTTATTTTTCAACAGGAAGGTGGGGAAACCACTCCTAATTTAACTTCTATATTCACAGGACTCCGGGAGCTGGGGCTTTAAAGGAAATATTAGCTACTGCCCTAAAAATCACCTTCATTTCACAGGCTGGGCATGGCTAGGATGGAGCTGTGTTGCTCCTATGTAGCAGAGGAAGTGGAGACAGCTTCTGTAGCTGATCGCAGGGGCATCCCAACAGCTAGCAAACAGGGGAATAAAACTGTTGTGAACCAGCCTGCTCCAGCAGTTTCTCTCTGGGAGTTTCTGGGCTGATACGTGCTTCCCTAGTACTAACAATTCCTTCCACCTGCTCGTGCTTCACGTCTGTGGACTTAATCTCCACCTGCATGAGATGCTGGGAGCTTCCATCATGGCACTTTGCATGCCTATAGTTCCCCTCTGATCCCCAGGGAGGCTTTAGCAGTGCAAAGCCAGTGGCAAATCGATTCAGCCAAGTTCAGAGTTCGCCTGTTTTGCTCATCAGCTCTTTAAATGTCACGGCCAATTTTATAAATAAGAACAACAGAAAGAGTCAAAGAGCATGAATGCCTGGCAAGGACTTATGTTGTAGCCGTGGTGGTCTAAAGGCATAGGCGGATGAGGTAAATTTGGGTAAATTGGATGTCTTTGATTAGACCAACTCAAAGAGTTGGAAAAATTCTTCTTTGCAAGCTTTTGGGTATAAATATCCTTTGTCAGGCTGAGCACACGTGAACTGCAGATGCTTTCTCAGCCTGACAAAGAGTATTTCTACCTGAAAGCTTGCAAAGAAGAATTTTTCCAACTATTTGAGTTGGTCTAATCAAAGAGATCAGATTTACCCAAAGAACCTTGTCTGGCTAGGACTTGGAGGCTTTCTGAGCAGGAGAGTAGGCCCATGTTGGTTATGCCCCATGGTATAACCCAAGGTTCAGCGTTTGCCTTTCCTTCTCTGCCTGCCCCAAACCATGCCACGGACACTGGACAGGCAAGGGTAGGAGTGTCCAGGCCAAGGGAGGGGAGGTGTGCATGCATATTCAGAAATATAGGTAGCACTGATGTGGGGTGCTCACTGGGGCATAGAAGATGCAGATTTCTTACTAAAAAGGAAGAATGGAGACTGCTTTGTCTGTGGTCATGATTGTGATAAAGGGAGAAATGTTTTTTGGAGGGGTCCATCCCCCTTCAGCTGTTAGCACAAGATGCCCCACGTTGGAGAGTGAAGTATAGATAACTTAGTTGCATTGGTCAAGGCTCCATGATCCGAGTGACCTTTGAGGCTGCGGGTCTACATACGCCTTGAAAACCTTGTTTCATGCTATACTATAGGGCTACAATATGCACTTAGATGGACTACAGCATCTGGCTAAGAGACTCCCTGACTTAAGTTGCCTTGAGATCGGGAAAGGAAAAGCATATTAGTCCTCCCAGACGTAACAAGCCCACGCTGCAAGGCCTGGAAAAGAAACGTCTCCGGAAAGCAAGACGTGAGCAAGAGAAGGTGAGTCAGCATCTGGGATCTATTTATGTTTTAAGGTGATTATCCTAGCTCCCTTCATTAGCATTATAACAGCAGATCCTGCGTGAATATGCACAGGGTAATACTGTAGATGTCGGCACTTTCATTCTGCAAAGACAGCTGCCTGGGAGAATGGGAGTTTTTGTGCGCGGTGAGCGCTGCAACTCCTGGTTGCTGATTCAACCAAAATGGGATGCAGCGATTGTGCTCGCCTCGTCCTCTTTAGTGGTGAGGGCTCTCAAGCACGAGGTCAGCAAGGCAGCTAAAATCTGCCAGCACCCAGCAAGGCCAACTCCTTTCCTTTAGGAGTGACCTTCAGCAAAATAAACCATCTCTCACCTTGCTGTGCCGTTCCAACTGGCTGAGATATGCTGATTATTTCTCAGGTAGAAATAAAAAAATAAAATCATTGGGGTAGAAATGTCCTGTGGGTAATTTGGATGGCTGGTGATATAGCCAGGCAAAGACTGACAGAGAGAAAGGGATCCATCTTCATAAGCAGACTGAGTTTTTGGGTCAATGTGACATCTTTTATTAGACCAACTCAAATAGTTGGAAAAATTCTTCTTTGCAAGCTTTTGGGTATAAATACCCTTCATCAGGCTTCATCCTTAGACCAACACAGCTACAACCTATACCCTTCCATCTTGATAGGGTACTTGACCTCTTCTTATGGCATCGGGCACCAGAGACAATCAGAAAGAGTTGGAGACTGAATACTCATCAGTCGCTGTGCCCTGCAGGCTTTCTGTCTGCTGCACAAAGCAAAGAGGAGCAAAACCCATAGGAACCCAGCAGGCAGGGCAAGGTGAGACATCCCTTCAAGTCATCATCTAATTGTCCTCCACAAGTCTAGGGCCAGGAGCCAGCAGGGGGTATGATCATGGGAAGGAGCAGGTTTTTTCTCAGAGGAATGGATCGTTTCCAGCACTTAAGGCACAAAGTACAAACCCCCCCAGGACACCTGCTGTGAACCCTGCTCCAAGAGCGCTCTCCTTCCTAGGTGAGCAGAGGGGTTAATAGAAAGACCTGGTTTCACCTCTATAGCATCATAGACCGTGTCTCTTCTTCAAGTACTGCAGCAAGGGCCTTTTTAGCATCATCTGACATGGATTTACTTTGCTTTTTCACTCATGTACTTTTTCCT